AATTTGAGAAATGTTTTAAAATTCCTTATCTTATTTGAAACAAGAATGATTTGGAATGAAGATAATAAAACTTCTGATGTTCTAGAAAAAGAAGATAAAAAATTTATTAATTAATTAGAAATTAAAATATGACAAGGTTAAATAAGTAATTTATTTTGAAATTCTATAAATCCTACAAAATCCAACCATTTTGATTAGGAAAAAATATTTAACTTAAAAATCAAATAGGTAAGATTTCAAATAATTCAAAATCATGAGTAATAAATAACAAAAAATATTCGAAATCAATAAAAATACTTAGGGACCAAGTAGACCCAAAAAAAACCATCGTTAATTAAAATATATAAGAATTAAAAAGATTTTCCTTTCCGTTAATATTTAATTAACACCTGATTTGAAAAAAAAATGTACAATAATTTTACCGTTTGGTTGGTATATAAAAGGTGAAATTTTCGGATGAAAAGTGGCCTCTTATTATTGAATTATTGCACTTCTTAGCTCTAAAATTATGCAGCCCTCATCAAATGTTACCTCAACCATTTTTTTCCTTTTAGGGGAAAAACAATTAAACATTAATATTTATAAGAATTAAAACATCTTTGTTGAAAATGTAATTGGTCATTCTAATATCTTAAAAATCAATTTCAAGTAATTTAAAACTTTTTTAAAATCAATTTTTTTTTTATTTTTAGAAAGATAAATGATTTTGACAACACTGGAAGTAATTTTCGCTAATCGAATGTTATTGATTATATTAATCAATAATAAAAATTTATTTAAAAAATTGAAAAGCGAAAGCGGGAGAGATTGGTAATATTACGAATTGGAAAAGGCAGTGGGAGTGGGGCCCATGGCTCCACACTCGAGTATGATCGATGGAATGGAAGAGAGCCGGTATTCTCCGGTGTCCGGTTAATTTTCTTGTGGGTAATGATATGGTGTGTTGAAGGTCCATGACTTATCACGAGGATCATCACGCTTTCTCTGGGCCCGCTCGTGTGTGCGCTTCCTGCCATCTCCATCATGAGCCACGTGTTCCAACCACAAACCCACCTCTCTCTCTCTCTTTTTCACCTTTGCTTCTAATTTTATTATCTCCTGTTTATTTATTTACTTTTATCCCATCACAAATACATCCTAAGATTTACGTACTCCAGCTATTAAAATGAATAAGGATGTCGATGCGCGGTTGTGGTCGAGGTGACATGTCAGTAGAAGATCTAAAATGGTTTTTGACATTTATTATGAATTCTCAGAGACTACCTACAAATAAAATCTTGTATAAGTGTTGTGTTTAAATATGTACGCTCTGAAACTTAAGTTAGAACTAAATTCAAATGGGTGTCGAATTGAATTTACATAGAAGGCAAGAGATTGCATACTTTCTCAAATGTGGGACCTTCACCTTTTATACAATGAGAAAAATTGAAAACTATGGCTTTATCACTGCGATAGTCATATAGTTGTCATTCCATTGATTTTTTTTTTTTTTTGCTAGCAATTGAAAAATCTTCTAACAAGAGAATCGTTGTTCCATTGAACAGTAGTGAATTAGCTACTGGTTAAAATCTTCTTTAGGTTGGAATTGGGTTGAACTAGATTTGAGGTGTACAGACCCTTTCTTGTCTTAACTGTGTCTCGAGTGAGGCCTAAATATATGCGCGGTTATATATTTGTTTTTGAATTTACCCCTATAAAAGATACGTTAAAGTATAAATATTTTAAAATTTTGGATTTCATTTATGTGATTCAGTTAACTTTTTATTTATGTTAGTAATATTTGGGAGATTTAATAAAATTATAGGTATTAAATTAATGCACGAAAAAACTTATAGTTGGATTAAAAGGAAAATTTAACATTTATGTAGTATATTATTTTTACGGCCAGTAATAAAAAAGGAAGAAATTAGAGAGGGAATGAGTCATCTTGAGACGTCGGGGAGAATATTTGGATAGCCATCTGCACGCGCTACTGGATTCCGTGATTTCAGAACACGTGTTTTTTTTTCTTTTTTTTTTCTAAAAAGAAATTAGTTATAATTTCCATAAATTAAATGGAATTATAAATGAGAAGGGGTCCAGTAAGGAAAATGAGATCAGCATTAAACAGAAAATATTTTTATTTAATATCGTAAGGCAAAAGGAAAATTTGCTGTTTAAGTTAATTCCATAATTATTGATTTCTGAACGTTTTAATTTCAAACAATGCGATTCTTCATCTCTTCCCTTTTTTTCTTTTTTTTTTTTCTTTTTCTTTTCTTTTTACAACTTTAAGTATATTCCTAAATAATTTCAGCTTAATAACACTCTACCAAATATATAAGGGCTGTTTGAATTTGAAAGCTATTTTTTCAAAATTTGTTATTTACTGAAATACATTTTTAATATTTATTTTTCAAATGTTGTTTTTTCATAACTTTCTTGTTTTATGCCAATGCCTTATATGTTTTATTTTATTTGTTGTTTTATGATATCTAATGACTTGTGTTTTATACTCTTTGAAGTTATTGTTTTAATTAAAAAAATCATAAATGATTAAATATTGATTTCAACTTTACAAATTCCTTCATTAATCAAAGTAAAAATATATAATTGTTTTGAAAACGAACTTTTGAACAAATCTATATTTTCCAATCCTATAGCTGATGAAATTGGAATAAGATTTCGGACTGAAAATATTGGTATAAAATTCCTTTTTTTTTTCCGCCAAGATTGCAGCTAAAGGGAAGTTTTGTGTGTGGTGATTTTTTTTTTAAATTTAATTTATTATTATTATTATTTTGACAAATGCAGCTAAAGTGAAGCTGAATATTTTTTGGAGGGAAGAAATCACTTAAATCGTAGTAGAGGATGATGCTTCTAGACATGGTTTTTAACTAATACACGTTTTAAATTTGTTGTCTTCCCTCGTTTTCTCATTTTGTTGATTAGTTGTATATGTAAACTATTGAGGCATAATTCGAGGTCATACGTTAGCACGTGATTCGAGGTGGGCTCCAAGTCTGCTGAATTGAATGATCTATAAACATAAAATTTTGCACTAAGGTGGTGTGTTTATATCAGATTCTGAACAAACCGAAATACACGATGAGCTTCTCCCTCGACAAACAAACTATGCAAGAAAGACCAACAAGATATGAATAAATACTTTAACGTTCAAATTCAGTCAAAAGTTTGATTTATATAAGTTGGTTCTAGGCAGAATCACGTACCTGTATATAAGAGTGAGTGTATATTTATATAAGTCACGAGAAAGACCATTATGTTACAACCACTACAAGAAATTCATGTTTTTCCGACGTTTTAAAATTTGTCGGGGTTAAGAGCAATTTGCCGACGTTTTTGGTTTTGTCGGTATTTATCCCAACGATATCTAAATTTTCTTCAGGAATATTCCTAACTATTGTAAATTCTGTTGCGATAAGTTCTGAAAATATGAGGTATCCTGATGAAATCTAATTTCGTTGGAATAATCTTACCAATGAATGTCGGGACAAGACCTTTATTCTTGTAGTGAACCATTACATATGTTGTTACATAGTTACAGATGGTTTGACTTTATAACTCGGCAACCACAACTAGTGAGACATTCTGTAGAGGCATAGGCTCTATAGATCGACATGTCTTATGAGATAGTCTATCTAAAGTACGTAAAGATTGCGTATTTTTGGGTAGGTGGGACTCTTATCCTTCATAGGGGAGTATTGCAGAATGACGTTCGATACTGACGATGTCTGTACCTATCATTCAGAAAAATTCCTATCGGTAGATTCTCTGCCGAGATAGTTGACGTTCTAACGATTATCAGCAGAGATTCAGTTAGCAAAATATTTTCCAGGTCAGAATCAATATGAGTTATACTTTTTAAGTACAATGGCCACTCCCTCTTCGTCCTCCATGAGACTTGAATACACATGTTTTAATAGAAAAGGGCCACGTATGCTGACTTTACCCAAAACAAATATTTAACAAAACATTAATAAGCCATACAAATAGAAAAAGAAAATTAGAAAGTAAACTAAAATAACATTTTTAAATAATATAAAATATAACTCAATAACCAAGGTATCTTGAAAAATAATGGTATGGTTTAGGAAAATCATAGAGAGTTGTTATTATTATATCTTTGAATTCGAGAGGGTCGCTTCCAATGTATTTGTTTTTTTTTTTTTTGAAATGTATAAATGGAAATAGAGACAGGCAGAATTAATCTTACTCTTGCCTGTCTCTTAATTTGATTTCAAATTAAGATTAGATTATTTTCATCTCCAGTTATTACGGCGGGGGATTAATTGGTAATTTAAGAAGATCTTGAAGGCGGACAGAGTGTTAACCGCAGAGATATTCTTTTAATAGAAAATTCAAAATTTTAATCTTAAAAAAGGAGTCAAAAAAATTGACCGATTAATTAAACTGGACCGGGTATCTTGGGCCTCACGTGACTGGTACCACGAAACTCGAGATGAGTCACTCGCTGAGTCACCACCCCATATGATGTTGTCCGATTGGGCCGTGTCTCTTTCTGGGGCCCACTCCTGACTACGTGTCGCAATCTCCGTCGACCAATGAAACGCGGCGGGAGGGGCTGTATCTCCGTCGTGGACACCGGAATCTTCACTCCGACTCCGAGAAACCAAAATTACCATATTGCCCTTCGCCCACACCCACTTGAAGAAAAAAGAAAAAAATCTGAGACCTTTTTTTTTGGTTTTGGACAACCGACCCCCCTCGGCAGTGGGCCCTACTCCTGGGCGGGATTTGATTACTTTACTGTCTCTAATTGTAAATTGTAATTATTGAGTCCCATGCCCAAATTCTCACTCACAGTCACAGAAGAAAGAAAAAAAGAAAAAGGGAGAAATATTTGGTTTTGGGGGAAGAAAATATTTGGGGAATATTATTAAAGGGCTTTCTATTCTCGGGTTGCCAAATTCGGCTGTTGGGATCCTATAAAACAGCGATTTCAGTGTGTTTGGGGTTCCATTGCGATTACAATGCTCTCGAGAAATAAATACTCCCACTGAGCTTCTTCTTCTTTTTCTTCTTCACAAACTCTTATACTCACAATCAAAACCCTTATTCTTCTTCCTCTTCTTCATCCTCCAAACCCTTTTTTACAGTCCACTCATTTTGACCCAAAAAACAACACAACCGATTCTCGGTAGTCCCTCAAAACAGGACTAAAAAGGGGTCACAGCAACCGTGTTCATCACTGTGCGGTTTCCTATTTCTTTTTTGGCAGTGTGAATCCAAAAACGAAAAACTGTCTGTTTTGTTGACTTACCCTTTTTTCCCCCTTTATATTCCTTGTTTCGCCATTGCCTGGTGAGAAGTTTGATGCTGAATCGGCCATGGAGGATACTCTGTTTTGTCCAGTTAAGTTCACTGAGCACCGAAACTTCACCAAGAAATTTTCCACCAAGAAGCAGCAGCAGAATCAGCATCACCCGCCGGAAAATAGAGTTGTACGGATATCGGTAACTGACCCGGACGCGACGGATTCGTCCAGTGACGAAGAGGAGGGGGAGTTTTTTGAGCGGCAGAGAGTTAAGAAATACGTGAACGAGATCAAAATCGAAAGCGGGTCCAGAAATAGCCTTGTACCCGGTTGCCGGAAGCGGCCGGCCGGTGAGGGTTCCGAGTTCCGGCGCCCGGTGAAGCCGCCTCCGACAACCAATGGGAAGAAATTTCGCGGCGTGCGGCAGAGGCCTTGGGGGAAATGGGCGGCGGAGATTAGAGATCCTGCTCGCCGTCAGCGGGTGTGGCTGGGGACTTTCGACACGGCGGAGGAAGCCGCCATGGTTTACGACAACGCCGCCATTAAGCTCCGTGGGCCGGACGCCCTCACCAATTTCGCAACCCCGCCACCGCCGCCGGAGAAGGAAGCGGAGGTTAATATCCCCTCTGTTTCCGGGTCCTACTACGACTCCGGCGAGGAGTCTCACAATTTGTCATCCCCAACTTCGGTTCTCCACTTCAGAACTCAGTCGCCGGAAGAATCCGAAAACCCCCCAAAACCCGAAGCGTTTCAGAAACCGTCGCCGCCGTCGCTGGCCGACGACCAATTTCACGAATGTCAAGGCGAAACCTCTTTCTCCGGAGAATATTCCACCGATTTCCCCAAGTTCGAGGACATATTCCAACTTCCGAGCCCCGACATGTCGATTTTCTTCGACGAACAGCCGCTGTTCTTCGAGGAGAGCATTTGGAACGAAGGTTTCAGCCAGATTTTCACCAACATGCCGGAAGATTTGGGATCGCCGGTGCTATCTTCTTCGATTAGCCAAGGGGGCGACGATTATTTCCAAGATATTTTATTGGGGTCCGACCCTTTGGTGGTTCTCTGAGCAGCGAAGCGCCGGCCGACGGCGGTGGATCACAGCTTCCACCGTTTTATATCCCTCCGCCGATATGTCGGCGGAATTTTGTTCCGATCTCATCTCTCGGAAAACGGCTACTTTTGCGACTTTTGCTTTTATTTTATTATTATTTTTTCTCTCCTTTTTTTTTTTTGGGTATACTTTTCCTTACCTGTTTACATATTCCGGGAAGTTGAGTGGACCAGTTTTGTTAGAGATATCTATTCTTTTTCTCTCTTCTTTATTTAAATCAATAATTAGGCTATGTTATTAAGAGTGTATAATGTGGAAGAGCTTTGTATAATTATATATCACAAATATTCTCTCTTTTTATCTCTCTCATTTCTAACTATTTATCCTTTTTTAGAGTATTATAACTTCAACAGAAAAAGAATTATCAGTACTTCAATTAACTAAGTAGTTAAAATATTACTACCCTTCAAAAAATAATAATAATAAGATATCTCTACATTTATTAGTAAGGTAGAATTCAAATATTATATTTTCCTTTTATTTTTTCAAAAGTGAGTATAATACAGGGAAAAATGGATGTCACTTCACGAGATCTAGACACATAAGAAATAAAAGAAAACAACAACATAACTAGAGCAAAAAAATAGCATAATATAAGAAATATAAAATACATAAAAATCGAAAAAGAAAAGTAACAACTCAATTAGGAAAATAAATGACAAGCAGATGTTATCACAAGATCTAAAATAACCAAATATTAGATTTTGGAACATACATGTAAAAAATGATATAGTTATAGAAAATAGTAACAGTGATAATTTCCTCCTTGAGTCTTGCATGGTGACTGAAAATGTTTTGAGGTCAAATATATGAGAATGATGTGTGTTAATAAAAAACAGTAATGTTTTTATTATTTTTGTTTGAATGGAAATAAAGGGGACGTTAATTAATTAATTTAGGGGGTGATTAATGGTAATCCACCAAGTGCCTAACGAATAATGATAGGAAGGAAATGAAATGTCAACTTAGACAAAATGGCTGTCTTCCTCTTTCTCTGTGCGCTTTTAATATGACAGAAGAGAAAAATTAAGGTAACGCCTCCTTAATCACAATTTAAATACCACCCTTACCCCTTAATTTTGGAAACCTAATCTTTTTATGGAAATCTATCTTTTTATCTCTCCATATATGTATATATATTTTTTTGTTGGTTTTTTTTTTAAAAAAAAAAAAATTTGAATTTGAAATGGGTAGTATTTAAATGCTTGAAACCGTTCAAAAACTTTGTCCAAACCCACTTCATATTGTAATTGAGGAATTACTTTCTAAAATATGTTATATATGCGAAGTGAACCATTCAACCAGAAACAAGGGTTAATTTCGTAAGAACGGGAAATTAAAATAAATTCCTTGTAATCGTTCTTAATTATTGAAGAAATTACTATTTTCAAGCTGATAGTAATTAAGTTTAATCTGATTTATTTCTTCGGTTTTTCAAAGAAAGGAAAAACCATAAATACGGACAGAGCCTCACGTGCACACAGCACGCACAATGATTTTTCTGAGGCCATAATTGTAATTAATCAAATTTTAAATAAAAATTGAATGTATTTTTAATTTAATGAATGTTAATATTAATAATTGGATTTTAGTATCAATGCTGTGTGTGAGGAAGAGACCACCCCATGGGACAAGCCCTGTCCTTCCCTATTTTGCTTCAATATTACTCAAAGAAATTCTTAAATTTTATTTTTCCTTTTAAAAATAAATACAAAATGACATTATGCCCCCACCCCACTAATCATTATGTCTAAGATCTTCTCTCATTGTGTATTTTTCTTTAAAAAATTGAGTTTAATGTCACTCGTGTTTTATTTACATACATAAGAAACAAGGCTGATTTCCTTACTAGGAAAAAGAAAAGAAGTTGGATGGAAATATCTGAAAGGGTATTTTAGTTTTACAAAAATGTATAGGTATAAAAAAGACATATTTTTATTGGCTTATTAGAAAAAATGTTTGTTGCAATTTAATTAGACAAGAGAAAAGAAAGAAAGGAAGGTAAGCCAAAAATGAGAG